ATTATATATTATATAAAATATTATATATTATATAAAATATTATATATTATATAAAAAATTATATATTATATAATATTTTATATTAATATATAAAAAATTATATATTATATAATTTTTTATATGGAGAAAGTAAAAAATAGAAAAAAAAACATCTTCTTTAACTTTTATATAAAAAAAATATATTCTTATTCAAGAATTGTTTTCAGAAAATTTGATATTTTCCAATAATCTTCCTTCTTACCGTTATCACAAATGTTAAGTTGTATATTCGCTGTCTCTTATACACATCTTTAGGATTGCACCTATACCATCTGTGACACTCACTATAGCGAGAGGCTGCAGGTTTGAATTTCCGCTAGAGAAATTTTTTCATAGAACTTAAAGATAACTATATTTGTTTTTTCTTTGTACTAACACTTAATTATTTTAATCTAACACAATTATTTTGTTTAATGTCCATACGGCCTCGTGGAAGAACACCCACTTGGGTGAACGAGTTTTTTGACCGTTATAAAATAAAGTTGTTATTATTATTATTATTATTATTGAGAATGCTGTTGCTTCCATTAGCCATTTAAGAGTGAGGTTTGTACTATCTTGCATTATTACTGTAAAACTACGGAGCTCATGGTTGGTATGTCTTATTGGAAATTTCTCGCCACATTGAAGCCATTTCAGAAACCCTAAACAATTGGGTAACTGAGGGATAACTAGGCAGAAGAACTTTAAAGAAGCTAAAGTTAAATAGTGCCAGGACCCACGCGTCGATGGTCTAGAAAATTACATTTTTTACAAGACATAGCCTTTCATTCAAAGGATTAAAATTTTTCTTTAATTTATTGTTTTAACATGCATTGCTCTAACATCCTAATTTTCTCGCCTTCTTTCTTGGAGGTGTAATTTTCGCTTCCTCTACCTCTAAATGCTCCGAGATTTCACTATTAAATGTGGTTTTTTATCTCAAAGCCGATGTTTGGCAAGCCTGCTCATGAAGGACGCTGCGCATCTTAAACTGCGGTGGTAGATCTTTCCTGTCATTCGACACTATTTCTACCCCTCCTGTTATCCTCCTACACTTTTGGAGTTCTTAGGAGGTCAGCTTTACCCACCAGAACCAGAACCTCTGTAACACAGCCTAATAAGGCTACCACAGGTGTAGTGAATTAAAAAAATTGAACTTGTTTACAAACAATACATACCCTGTAGATAGTGGGGGTTTCATTTATTCCAAATGATGTTCAGGGAGTCATGTTTAATCAAGGGGACATCCATTTAAACCATGTAATAGTTTTACGTTTCTTTAACTTTTACATGTACAAAATACAGTATATCTTTACATATTGAGTAATAATTGATAATAATTAACAACAATAATAATAATAAGAATTTGTACCTTCAGGACAGCCATAGAAGTTAAATCTTATGCTTGGATTAAATCCTAGTGCCCAAGATGTGATAGTAATTCTCACGTTGGTTACAGACATTCCTTGGTTGGCAAGCGCGATATCAAAATTTACAATCTCATCGCCACTGTCCATTGGTATTTCAAAGTCCTTTAAGAAGACAAAGAATAGACAAACAATCATAACTGGTATTTATGGATATATGCTTGAAAAATAAATGGAATTAAATTAAATTATTTTTAAAATTTTTATCCTATGTCAAACAAGAGACTACATACAGTACTTCAAAATGTCGACAAAAATATTTTATAGGATTTAGCAACATACTTGATTTAAAAGTACAAAACCAGATCCTTCTTCGGACTCCAACTCCAGAGTGAATGAGGTTGGAACGAATGGTCCATTACCCTGAACAGCCATCTTTGAAATGTACACACCAGGTGAAGACCATCCAACAATAATTTGGGGGTAATCATCTGTACTGCCAATCCATGGATCCTGAGCGCCAAGGTAAGTATTTGGTATGCCATTTTCACCATTTACAAATCTGTATTCTTCATATTCATTTAATGGATACTGACAGTCTGTGAATATGAATAAAATCATCATTATAACTATGTAATAGTTTTATATATTTTTTTACTTTAAGTGTAATTTAATTTCCATTGACTAAGGTTGAAATGGTAAAAGGAAATCCCAAATGTTCATACAGTATACAGTACCTGTGGGATTTCATTTCCTTTCATATTTCTTTCACAAATTAAATAAAAACAAAAACAATAATAATAGATGGAGCAATGAAGAATGACAATAGCGAGGAAAACCAAATCAATTATCAAATGGTTCCTCTAATAATGCACATGAAAAATAGCAAATATCACAAAATAATATAATTACTACATGATTTGCAAAATTGAAAGTAGATAAAAAAGTAAATAGAAAAAAAATAAAAATGCATAAGTAAATGGCAAAATTTTATAGACAAAGGTGACAACACTATCGTTGTAGCTTTCCAATACTGTAGATTCAAATGGACACAAACTGACCAAAACTAAAAATAATTTTGTTACATTTTTAGTAAAAAAATGTTTTGTTTTAGAAAATCAAGATTATTACATTTAATTAAATTCTGACAAAAATTAAATTGATGAGTAGTGCTAAAACTTGTCCCATCAAGCAGAATTTAATCCCTAATATTAGCTTGAGATTGATTGTTCTCACAAAAGTAGAAACATTAGTACAAAAGGAAATACTCAAAGAAAGTTGTAATTACAAATTTAGGGGGCTGTGTAAAGAAGTTATTTTTAAGGTGAAAAATAGGTTAAATTAGCTATTAAATATTAATTAAAAAATTAAAATGTCTAATAATAATGATAATTTTTCGGAAAATTCAGAAATAAAAAAAATAATGGGGAAAAGCCAGATAAAAGCCTTCTCCCTATGTTATGTTTTTAAAATACTATTACATCAAATGAAAACTTAAGATACAAGATACACGATACAAGATTCTTTCATTGTCACTAGTACACAAAATACAAGTAGAATTCGTCTTCCTGATGCAAAAAAATTAGTATAGAAGTTAGAAAAAAAATAAACGAAGGACATAAATAAAACAGTATATACAAAATGATACAATTATTAACAAGAGTTAGTTACTATAGTTTATCTATTAAAATCTCATTGTACATATGGATTGAGTTAGGAATAAAAGATCTTCTTAACCTGTTTGTATTGCACTTAATTGGACATAAACGACCGGATCTATTAAAGGTGTATTGCAAGAACAATTATAATTATTTTTCGATAGATAAAAGGGCATCTGTTATACTATTTTAGATGTACTGTCCCCTTAAAATGACAACAAGTATTACAAACTAATTTTGAAATTAAGTTGCACATTTTGCAGTAACATGCAAAATTAACTTGAACATATTGAATTTAAAAAGTGTGTACTGCAATTTTTATACTGGATAATGATAACAAAAAATAATAAAACACTTCCAGTGTTTCTATCATTTTTCACTGTATAATTATGAATAAAAATTAATCAAATAAACTAATTTCTATGTTCAAGTTTATAATGTTTATGTTACTTCAAAAATAGCAAGTTTTTATGATTTTTTTTTTTAAATTTTGCATGGAACAATACATTTTTAAACAATTTTGTTGTCAAGCCTCATCTCCAAAAAAATGGTACACAGTCGCTACAGTTCTAAAATTGAAATTGTTACACTGCCTAGCCGTGTCCAAAATCATCAATATTTCCTACAACTGCTTTCATCTAGACTTTATACCAAAGGTGAAAAGCTTTTCAGAAACATATCACTGTATATTGTACACGTGTTTAAAGCCAAAATAGTTTTAAGACATTCTAAGAATTATGAGTCCTATTAAAATTTCCTCTTTGGAGAAATAAAGTGTCTTAAGTGTCAGGATTAGAGCTACACCTGGTCATTTAAGTTGGCCTTCAGATTTTTGTAACCCATAAGGCAGATATCAACACAGTATATTAGAACAAACAATAGTAGTATTTACTCTACAGCAGATGATGGCAATAAATACACATGATTGAATTGAAAATACGCATCAAATATTTATAAATTTACAATAACTTTTAATAATTTATAAAACCAAGAACCCTTCACCATGAGAAAAAGAAATCAAATCGCATATGAATGTTGAAAGAATTTCATTTGGTTTCCATGGTTTATTCTCATAACTTCACAAGAATAAAAGATCTTATTACCACAATAGAATATAAAATGTTAGATTTAAATGATGCCATTGTAGAGAGAGAGAGAGAACAAAAGGCAGCAAGTGTCCATACAATACAAAAGCATTACCTGGCATAGTTGTAAATGTTGTTGATGGTGCTGGGATTGTAGTACTTTCAGTGTGGCTTACAGGAGTGGGTGTAGTTTCAGAATGAGTATGGACTGTAGTAGTTTCAGGAGTGGGTGGAGTTTCAGAATGAGTATGGACTGTAGTAGTTTCAGGAGTGGGTGGAGTTTCAGAATGAGTATGGACTGTAGTAGTTTCAGGAGTGGGTGGAGTTTCAGAATGAGTATGGACTGTAGTAGCTTCAGGAGTGGGTGTAGTTTCAGAATGAGTATGGACTGTAGTAGTTTCAGGAGTGGGTGTAGTTTCAGAATGAGTATGGACTGTAGTAGTTTCAGGAGTGGGTGTAGTTTCAGATGGAGTATGGACTGTAGTAGTTTGAGGAGTGTGGCTTACAGTAGTAGTTGTAGCTTCAGATGGAGTATGGACTGTAGTAGTTTGAGGAGGTCTAGTGGAAGTTACTGGGGGTGTAGTTTCAGATGGAGTATGGACTGTAGTAGTTTCAGGAGGTCTAGTGGAAGTTACCAGGGGTGGAGTTTCAGAATGAGTATGGACCGTAGTAGTTTCAGGAGGTCTAGTGGAAGTTACAGGAGTGGGAGGTGATCCTGTGGAAGGTAAAAAAATTATTACATCAAATTATAAGCCATGCCCCACATACTATATTCTGGAAAAAAATCTAAAACTATGTTAGTATTTTTGTGAGACACTTTAATTTAGTGTCAAAATTCCTCAGAATACATGTATTTCCATTAGCTGTAATGGAAAAATTTCTCCCAAAAATAAATTCCCCCTCCAATTTTCAAGACTTCTGGATATGCCACATCATCAAACTCATCCTTCTCTTTATAATCCTCATCATCATTGCCATTATCATCATCAAAACTGGCATCATCATCTTTATCATATACAGTACATGCATAAATATATATATTGCATATATATATGTATATATATATTTACCTTTCTTTGATGATATATATATATATATATATATATACTGTCTCTTATAAACCAAATTCTAAATATATTCCTAAATAGTTAGAATATATTCTGTTACCCTAGATTTTGTCTACATTAGACCAAAAACATTTAATGTACAATATAAAATGCAAGATTTATAGTACTTTTTAATGAAAAATGGGCGCCATTTTTTCAGCCATCTTGGAAAAATTACACTATGGTTGTCAAATTTTGTAAGACTTAATTCTAATCATTTATAACATACATTACTACCTAAAAGTATCTTGAATTTACACAAAACCAAAAATATTTTATTCAATATTGCTTTTTCATTAAAATTGATGCTGACCTTTGATCTCCCTAAATTGCATGTTTGGGTAATTTTAAAATGTGACAACCCCTAGAAATCGAAGAACACATAATAAGGATCACTTTTAGCATAGTTGTCATCCATTACGAAACACATTCACTCTATCCTCTATCTTGTGTAAATGAAATTTAAACAGAGGATGATAGCAAAATTGTTGTTAGGCATGTTCAGACAAATTAAAAGTAAGCCCTAAAGTAGCAGTTTACTTGTAGTAAGCCAAGGGTAGTGCGTGTGAAGACGCTGTTTGTATTAAGTTACTTCAACGTTACTACAGATGATTTACTCTTGAGCAGTTTCAGAAATAAGTGTGTTACTTCCACGTGCACACAGAATGTAAGGATCGAATACGCACTACAGGGGACGATTTAGCAGTGAGCAGTCTCAGGAGTACAGTACTTGTAGGTGTGCTACTTCTGTGTGTACATGAAATGTAAGGAATACATGCTCAGATTAGTGCATGTGGATGAATTTACTTCAGAATTCCCAACTAAACCTGACCTTTATTATGACCTTGATTTTTTTCAAAATATAATTACCTACAAATGAATACCAACAATGACATTTCCTGTGATGTGTAAGCCATTGTACACATGATGTTTTCATAACTGTTTACAATTTCAAGAATTTGTGTGCAAATAACTGTTGAGATCAAACGAAAGTGGCAACTATCACTTCTGGAAAATTTGCAGTTACTTTTAAGCTCTGAACTAGCTTTGAAGTAAAAAGAATATGCCCTGGGTAAGCATCGTGCTTACATTCGTCTGTTGTATCATGTGCATTTAAAATTTTAAGTCTCGGAAGGCCGTCTGAACATAACTAATACTGAATATGTGGAACACTGATAGACGATTGCAGTATTTCTTAGATTGTTTCAAATGAAGAGAAATATGGCAAATATCCAATTAATATTCTAAAAGTTATCAAAATACAAAACGTGAACAGTAAATTTGTTGAAAAAATATCAAACCTGTTACAGATGGTGTTGTTGGAGATACAGTTGTTGTGGTGGTTTCTGGAAAGTAAAATGGTTAGATTAAAATAGATATAGTATTCAATGTGAAATGAATCTCTCGAGGCAAGACTTTTTTTATACCTTGTTTCGCAATTTAAATTAAATTTGTGGGCAATTAGCGAACCTGCTGCCACGAAAAACTGAAAATTTCAGAAAAAAATAAGCTTTTCTTTATTTTCATTACGCGCGTCGCTGCCTTAAAATCTTAGTCGCTGCCTAAAAAATAAGATATGTATATTTTTTCCTAATTACATAGATTTCAAGCACACTCCTTACATTCAACAATAAATTATTTTTTTAAAATAATTTTCTCCACCACGATATTTTTGGCAAAACCATTTGCTAATAAACACATTTTTTTTCCGCCCTTCTCAGACGATCTTTAAAAAAATAAGTTTGCGAAACTAGGTATAAAAAAGCATCGCCTAATCAATGAATATGCAATACTAGTCAGCAATTATGTCAGCTGAGTGATGAACTCAATTAGGTTTTACTTCCTGCAACTCATGTTTTACTTTTACTATTTTTGACTTGACTGCCATTATCATTAGTTGTTATCTTGCCTTATATTTATGTGTGCGGAATGTTATTTTAACCTCTGTTTTTAATATGAATGTATGTATGTATTTAATGAAATGAAAATGTTCCTGTTGGAAATCTTCTTTGAACAATACAGAAATCTTGAATCTTGAACTGGATCCAACGAAACCAAACAAAGTGGCAAATATTAAAATATGGCTATAATTAATTAACTATAAATTAATACATAACTTTAGCTTTAAAATGATATATAACTTGATGGATTTATTGATTTCTTTTAATTAAGAATAAGTAATTGAATTTGAAGTATTAATATTAGTCCAAATCAGAAAAAACAGTCAGAATCAATTATAAAAATAACAGTTGGTCAAAGAATTTATATCACCTTGCACAGTGTTAAGTGCCAGTAAATAGTTTTAATAAGCTAAGGAATGATAATAAGCATGTGTTTCAAAGAACTTAAATAGCAGAAGAATGAGCTGTTCCACGTATTTGCATTAAAATCGATGGAACATCCGCCCTCCTGTGGATGCAGTAAAATTTGAACATTTTACTAAGTGGAGAAACTACAGGAAACAAACGAACCAGAGCGGCGCCTTTATTATTACTGTATGGCGCCGCCGCGCGGATGCAGTAAAATTTTTCTCTGTGTACCCACAATGCATTTCGACCGGATGTTCCATTATTTTGGGAAGCTGCTCTATCATCTGCTATTTATTATCTTTGGCGTTTGACAAAAATTTCCCATCTTGTGAACGCATTCTAACAGAATTATTCCTAAAGATGCTGCACTGATTAAAAAATATTCAGATACAACTGGCATACCTATTAATGTTGGGGTTAAGCGAGTGGTTACTACCGATGTAGTGGTGACTTCTGTAAAGAAAGATTGAGAAACAAATTATAATATGTTTTACAAAACAAACCATTTAGTGGAAAAAGATTGCACAAGTGTGTAAAGTGTTTTTGTTGTCTAGCTGAGTATGCCATCATTATATTCTGCCTTATGATCTCCATCACACTAGTGGCTATGATGCAATTTTTTGTAATGTATAGTACACAATAAAATTATTAGCAATATATATTTTGTCATGTGCACTTATTTATGATACTCATAAATCAACATTGCTGGCCTAGGTCTTTTGTAACAATGATGGTTACAACAGGCATTTACAGGTTAACAAATTGTTTTCTACAAATAGGTTAACATACCAGCAGCACATCCTACTACATCGAAACGTATACTAATGCCAGGTTCTGCCCAGTTAACGGCTTTGATCCTGATGGCAGACGTTGCTGCAATACCTTCAGGAAGTACCACGTTAACAACATTTGTGCCATATTCATCACTAGTTGGATAATCGGATAGTCCAAAAAGCTAATGAGAAATTAATAAAAGTAAGTTAATAAATAACAGTAATAATAATTAAAAAAACAACAACCACAACAATAACAATAATAATAATAATAATACATTAATAACAATAATAATAATAATAATAATAATAATAATAATAATAATAATAATAATAATAATAATCATAATAATAATAATAATGCAAGGTCATAATTACTGTTCAGCGCTTTGATCATTTTTGGAAAAGCGCTATATAAATGTTATTATTATTGTTATTATTGTTATAGTGTGGAAATTCCGAAAAAAAAAGAAAAAAAAGAAAAACAAGAAAAGATCAAAGGTGCAGGCAAAAACCTATTAAGAAATTGGTAAACGTATGTTAATAAATAACAATAATAACAAAAATAATAACAACAAAAATAATTATAATAACAATAATAATAATAATAATGCAGCAATTCCAAAAAAGAAGAAAAGATCAAAGATCTAGTGTATGTTTTACCGACTGATTTAATGTCACATGGTAATAGAGAGAGATGACCTAATGGAAGAAGGTACTTCATTCCAACAAGGAGGTATAAAGGTAAGGGGCAGCAAATGCAAATGTTCTTTGGCCATACAGTTTTACATTAAATTTCAGAACAGTGAGAAGGTTTTGCGAAGAAGACTAAAGGCAATAATGAGGAAGACAAGTAAGGTATGGAGGTAAATTGAAAAAAGTGCTTTAAACGTCATGGGGAGCATTATTTACAATATTGGTTCAGAAATATGTTTATGCCTACTCGCGAAAAGGCCACCTTCTGCGGCCTTTCGCAAGGCTGTGAGGTATTTGGTCCAGATTATTTGCAGGATGAATGAAGTAAGTTTTAATGAAAGAATAAATGAAATAAATTTTAATGAAAGAATGAATGAAATAAGTTTAAATGAATTGGGGGACCATCTTTTGTCTTGTCACCCTCCCAGCGTTTGAGCGATTTAAAAGCCAACAATAATTTTAGCTTGAACGTGAACCATCGCTCCCTATGGATCCGCCTAGAAAATTATAATTCTCTGATGCCCAGTCGGCCAAATGCTGCAAGTATTGCCATAACAGAATATTCTAAAGTATAATATTGAATACTGCTTCATCTTTAACTGTAAGTTTAGAAAGACCATTGCAAATGAAAATAAAATTACTTATTAAATTAATTTTATTAATTTTAATAAAATTAACGAGCCAGTAATAATTTTGCTTAATAATAATGATAAAGCAGGTAAGATATTAGGCCTACAGTATCTCTACTGGTAAAGAATATGGTAAAAAATATATTATACAAGTACATGATAAAATGTTATGATGAATGTATTCTGTGGACATTCCTTATTCATCACATATTGACTTCAAGGTCATTTTACAATATATTTTATTCCATTATATTACAGGAACTCCAGTATAAATAACGCAAGTTTAAATGAATTTGGGAACAGTCTTGTCTTGTCACCCTCCAATCTTTTGAGAGACTTAAAGCCAACAATAATATTAGCCTTAAAATTGTTCTCATAAATCACCCCCACACTTAAAGGAAAAAAGCTTTTTACTATTTACTTAAAATCTCTACATTTTTTTACCAGCTAAAATTTAAAAACACTCTAACATGTTAGGGTGGTGGGGGGGGGGGACGACCATCGCCGCCTATGAATCCACCCAGGTGTATCATTTAAATATCCACCTAGGTGTATCATTTAAATATCCACCTAGGTGTATCATTTAAATAATCATTCTGTGAAGCCCAGCCGAACTATAATTTAGGAAGACCTTTGCAAATGAAAGTCAAATCACCTTTTAAATAAAAGAGAACATGAGCCAATAATAATTTTGTTTATAATGTTTAGCAGGTAAGGTACGTATAGGCCTACTGGTAAACAATATAATAAAAAATGGATTATACAATACATGCTAAAATTTGATGGATGTAGACATTCCTTATTCATGTCGTATTGACTTATTTTAGTGATTAACATGGTCAGGAGTTTATAATATTTTTATTACGTTAGTTAGTGAACATATACGTTTGTATCAGCTGCGATCACGGAAGTGGTACGTTAAACCTACCTATACTCCTCTGCTCCTTTCACCGTATTGTACTAACGTAATTTGAATAATGAATTCTCAGATGTGTTGCTTTTGTAGTGCGACAAGTCCTCATCCAATATTTTGAAGATTCATAAATTAGTTTTTTTATGATATTTTATTAGGCATAAATAGGAGCTCAAAATATGCCAGTAATAATAAGGCATTTAAAAGATGGTGCTACAATATAATATTTTTTCCGGAGCTGTCACGCGTCTGGACGGCAATTCGGCACAAACATTAAGGCTTTACTCAATTTATAATATAGATAGATGGTGATCAGGGAAAGATTTATAGTTTGTTACATGGCAGTTGTGATGATCTTAATCATAATGTGTTGATGGTAGGCAGAAATGGATGGAAAAAGGTAATAGCGATAGTAGGAAGTGTGGTTGATGGTAGAAGACTTTTTTTAACACAATTTTATTCAGTTGTGTCATGTACAGTGGTGTATCTAGGAGTCTTAATTGGGGGGGGGATGGGGCTGATGACAGGGCAAAAGGCGAAGTGATGATTAAGTGAGTCTCATCTTAATCATCATAAGCGAGGGGAATTCGCATGCAAATGGTGGGGGGGGGGCCCTTTGATTTTTTAGGGTGGTGTCCACTCCCTAGATATGCCACTGATAATGAACATAAAAATTTCAGTTACAAAATAAGTTTACCTTTGGATCTGATGTGCCAACATCAGTTACTGGTACAAATACTTCCGTTTCTGGTATGCGATATTCAATTTCAATTTGAGTGGCTGAATAATCTATATATGGTTGGACTAGTACTTTATTGACAGTAACTGGATCATCAAAATCAATCTCAACCCAGGGTTCAGAAGTTATATCATCTGCATGTACTAGCCATGGGTCTTCTTCGCCAATCCTTGTACCAGATCCAGTATCATCATCATATGTAGATCTCTCTCCAATTATGACATCATTCATACCAAGAACATCATCACAATCTATAATGAAAGAAGAAAATCGAAATTATTATGAACACCTACTTCAATGCTCATGTCATTAACAAAAAGATCATATGCCTACTGCTGAGTACATGTATGTATAGTTTTTTAATTGGTAATTAATCACTTTGAATTCCGTGATGCAACCATTTGGTTTATAAAAACAAACAATTCATTTGTTACTGTTTAATAAAAAAAAAACTTATACATTTGTTTACAACATTTTTTGTAATCCAAGACAAGGATAGATAATGAATAATTTAATAAACTAAACTAATGATTTCATTTTTATTATGTTTGGCTTAAATTTACTAAACATTATTTAAATAAGTTGAAGAAATTGGTTTTGAATTATCTATTGTTGCTTCAAGTTGTATTTTGTTTTAAGAGCATTATTTATTTATTTATTTATTTTTATTTAATTGCAAAAATAATTGCAAGAGAAAGAAAATTATTATATAGAGATGTAAAAAAAGTATTTTAGTTCTTGAATCACTATTAGCCTGGTTTGTCCTCAGCAATTGGCAACAGATTTCTTTGACACGACAGACCAATGTGTTCCCCGCCTTTGGATCGCATGCGGGCGTATTATCTTATTTTGAAACAATTGCACAGCCATAGTGATTGACTGTAAGTAGTGCGCATTGAGAAAAAGAAGGTGTTGTCCATTTTGCCATGTTTAATTTTTTTTCAAAATTATCATCTTTGCTATTAGATATGCCAGAAATTTCCAGCATTTGACTATAGTTCATTACCCCCATACTTACCTGCTGAGTCTCTTCCAACTATTTATAAAGGTCAGGTTCTAAAACAACTAAATAAGGTTGACAAGAGGAAGTCCACACTCCCATCCAATATACCTTTAAGACTAGTCAAAAAGTTTGCTCCTGAGTTAACTGTTCTTTTATGTATGCTTTTTAATTTAGCTATAAGACAAGGAGTTTTCCCCAAATCCGGGAAAACTGCTATTTTAGTACCAATACCTAAGGTTCCAAAGGTGTCCACAATAGACGACTTTCAATCTAAAGCCCTTACTCCGATTTTTGTTAAGGTGCTTTGAAACATTCCTTGTGGAATGGGTAATAGAAGATATCCATAAAAAGCTTGACATTCAGAAATTAAACAACAAAGGAACATTAAAAAAGCATCTACAGCACATATGTTGCACGTCATTGTTCAAGGGCTTGACAAACCTGGCTACTTTGCCAACCTGTGTACAAATGATTACACTAAAGCTTTTGATTTAGTGGATCACAATATTATTGCAAAAAAACTCATTGACATCGGAGTTAGACGCTCTGTCATCCAAATTATATTAAGTTTTCTCTTTCAATCTTACGCACAATACCAGATATCATGGGCAATTATCCCTTAAAACCTGCATCACTTTCGGTGTCCCACAAGGTACCAAACTTGGACCTATTTTATTTTTAATTAATGATGCAGCTATTGGGGAATACAAACGCTGGAAATACGTTGATGATTTAACTATATGTGAAATCATTCCCCGTAATAACCAATCTTGTATGCAAAGGTTTTTGGATGACATCTCATTGTGGTGTAACTCAAACCACATGACAAACCTTCAAAATGCAATTTCCTACAAATAAATTTTTTTCGTCAACTGCAAATAATACCTCAACTCACACTCTCTAATCAACCCATAGAGAAAGTCTCCCATATAAATCTTCTTGGGGTTACACCATTCAGGACAACCTGAATCCCAAGTTTCAGAGATGGTTTCAAGAGCTTCAAAAAGGTTATTTTCCTTATGTATTCTAAAAAGAGCCAATACTTCAATCAAGGACATTGTTAAAGTATTGCTCTCAGGTTTGGTACAGCTCAATCACCAAATACCAATGTCTGAAAATTGAACGTGTCCAAAAAAGGGCCTGCTGAATTATTTTAGGGCAATGCACCACTCATATATTTTAGATCTCTACTTACTCTTGATCTTAACAATCTCGAATCAAGGAGAAACATAATATTGCTGAAATTTGGTGAAAAACTTTTGAAATCTGATAGGCATAGGCATCTACTACCCCCCAATGTTACTTGTACTAGAACCTACTGCAATATTCCGACCTATTAAATAGATACCGGTAAAATTACTAATGTATAAGAATACCGATAATGGGAAATGTGCAATATATTACTGTACAAATATAATTTAAACACTGCAACTAAAATGATAATAATGATAATTAATGAAGTGACCTTCTTTTGTATTTTCTATATTAATGATGATAATTTGACCTATTTTTGTTTTTTGTAATGAATTGTATTTTTAATGTTTTTTATCTTTGGCATTTTGTTGTATTGTATTTGTGAATAAGTTTTGTGAATTAGTTTTGTGATCCAAACCATTTCAGCTTCGGCTGCTGTTTTCAATTGTTTCTGTATGTTAAAAAAAAGAACAATTTGGCAATGACCGCATAGAGAAAAGAAGGTGTTGTCCATTTTGCCATGTTTAATTTTTTGGTAAACTAAGCCTGCTGAGCATTTCGTGGTGGGGAACTCATTAAAATTGAAAGCCATTGGGCAAACATTCTTTACACGCTGCAGCAGCTTTGTACTTCGCTCAGCTTGCATAGTGCTGCATGCACAGACCTTTTTCGAGTGATCTCCTTCTCAATTAATACCTCCATGGACTAAAGAAGAATGTTATGCAGGCTGCTACACTGGACTTTGATCGGTCGAACTGACAAGCAGTGGCATATCTATAAGTCTTGAAATGAGGGTGCTAATGGGGTGTGAAGGTGAAGTGGGGGGGGGCTTTATTATTAGTTGAGGGGCATAATTCGGAAAATAAGGTGATTTTTAACTACCGGTACTTGACTGTGATTTTTTTTTTGAAAACAAGTCATTTTTATTTTTTTTTGGGGGGGGGGGGAGGAGTTGGCGTGTGCACCCCTAGATACGACACTGCTGACAAGGTAAATGGTTAATTTTGTATCAGGCAGTTTTTAGATTCTTATTATAATAAAACTTACGTTGTTCTGTGGCTGTAACTGTAACTATTGTGGTCTCTTCTGGTGTCTGTGTAGTAGTTTGTATTGTTTGTGTAGTACTAGAAACAGTTCTCTCTGTTGATACTGTGGATGATGGAGATGTTGTTGACCAAATTGTTACTATGGTGGTGGTAGGTTCCTCAGTTGTTGATTCCTCGGTTGTGGTAGGTTCCTCAGTTGTTGGTTCCTCGGTTGTGGTTGGCTCCTCGGTTGTGGGTGGTTCCTCGGTTGTGGTTGTTGGTTCCTCGGTTGTGGTTGGTTCCTCGGTTGTGGTTGTTGGTTCCTCGGTTGTGGTTGGTTCCTCGGTTGTGGTTGTTGGTTCCTCGGTTGTGGTTGTTGGTTCTTCGGTTGTGGTTGTTGGTTCCTCAGTTGTGGTTGTTGGTTCCTCGGTTGTGGTTGTTGGTTCCTCGGTTGTTGTTGTTGGTTCCTCGGTTGTGGTTGTTGGTTCCTCAGTTGTGGTTGTAATTACAGTGGTAGTTATTACTGTAGTTGGCTCTAAAAATTATGAAAATACTATTGAAAAACCAGAAAGTAATTGGAGGGTCTTGAGATTAAATCTGACTGGTGTCATTAATTCTACAAGTTCTGTTACCTAGTCAGAGGGCACCCCATTAAAAATATATCATGTGATGAACTAAAAAGCTACGAAACGTCATACTTGAATTGCATATTTTTCAACAGTGAAACAATTTATTTGATTTTATTGAAACTTTATGAGAACAAGAGATTTTCTCACCAGTCAATAAATAATAAAAATTTTCTATTGGTCGGTAATCAATTGAAGGATTTTTGAAGTAGGTCAATAAATCAGTGTTTCAATCTCTGTATCCTTGAAAATATGCAACTTACTTTGTCTTGGTGTTAGAAGGGAGAAGTGCTGCTGCAAATTTGCATAGCAATTTGCCACAATGTTTCTTAATAATCCCTTACACAACCCACTGGATGTCATGGAAGACATTTATTTTTAACAGGATCACTAAACCCGAAAGTAAATCAACAAGCTATCTAACGTAATATCCAATTATGATAAAAATTATGAACCAAACAATATACTGAACATACCATTCAAGTAACAACCATAGACTTCAATCCTAAATGAAGGATCGGCAGCAGATCCATCTAACTCAATGAGATGGAGAATGATTTGTTGTGTTGGTTCCAAATCTTCTGGCAAGTCAATATCCCTGAACGTAACTGGATCCACCTTTTCAACCACATACCTTTCAGACTAAAACATATATATATACTTACAGGTAAGTTTTATATTTCAATTAATATTTTTATTCAATTAACTGTTGTGTTTCATGTAGTTCACATATTTATATTAAAAAGACATTTTCTCCAAAGTAAGGTATAGTTTAAACTAGGATATTGTGTTGGTTAAAATCCCTAATTTTACATTCTTGAGTTATTGGTGAAAGCAACACAATTGCAGATTCAAAGGGGAGGGGGAACCAAGCCGGCCAGCACCTCCCCCTAAGTTTTTCAAAATGAAAAAAAATGGAGAAAAAAACACCCTTTTACGGAATATATGAGAAAAAGTAATTTGTGTCGGCAGGTGACCTCCGTAACCGCTGGTTTCAGACAACTATACTGTGCCTAAGCCGTCAAGCATGAGTGGGACCAGAGAGGAGCATCATTTGCGCACTGATTCTGTCTCTCACTTCCTCACTTGCTTTCGTTACAGTGTCCAGATTTTTCAGTTACCAGTAGGTTCGAAAATACTTTCCTCTTAAGAAACACCGACCGTTTTCAGCTCATACACTGTCTCTTATACACATCTGAACCATACATTTATTTTTTCTTTCTCAAATTTATATTCAATACCGTTATGGACGCTAGTGCGAGGAAGAGAAGTAGAGGTAATTTTCGAGGGAGAGTTCAAGCCAACAGGCCAGTATTGTATTTTTATATATTTATATTTCATATTTACTGTCTTAACTATCTCTACAACGTTTGTGTAACGTTTTTGATAACTTGATGTCCATTACTTTATCATTGGGTAAACTCATTAGCCTTATTTTTTACCCGATCGGGTATATCCTATCTTGACCCCATTAATTCTCATTACCTACAATGGTATGTCAATCTTGTTCCGGTTGACCATTTACTTAGATTGATGGACGATCCGACTCTCTCAATGTTAAATTTTTTGGAAGTTTGTTTGTCATTATTAATAATAATTATTTCTTCTTTAGTACTCCGAATGTTTCTTATTTACAATAATCCCAACACCTTTTCGCACTCCCAGGTAGATTTAATCCAGTACTGTTCGCTGGTATTTTCAGAGTACTTCCAGAACATCTGTGTGTCAATCTCTCTACCCAGAGAAGTAAAATGGGTACCTGATGTAATGATATTTACTGGTCAGTTTGCAATGCACTGCCAGGGGCCCCAAGTGTCCTGCAACTCGCAGGAGTCGCCAAAAAATCAAGAAGGCCTCCCGCACTCCTGCGAGCAAGCAAGAGCCTCCTAGAAAATAACTCATTTCCTGCATATTCAAAATATTTGCATGTTTTTACCATTATTTAATATTGTACAATCCATTGTCTTAGGAAGTCTGAGTACCAATTGGTATCACCATGCAGAGCAATATATAATTTGATGTGTTAAAGCTCATTTTACAAGATCTCCCAGATGTGGATTCTTTCAACTTAGGGCCCCTGCACTGCTTTCCAACTACGGTATGAATCCCTCTATAGAGTGGCAAATCCAGGGGTGTCATAATCCAACACACTCAAATAGGGACTATTGTTTGGGAGATGTTTCGTTTATGGTGCTCTGAGATGGACTGAATGGGTGTTCCATTTTGGGAACAAAGGTAATTTGTTGGTTTATCCAATTAAGTATTCAGAAAATAGACTATTAGAAAATTACTACACATTAGCATTATTTATTAATATTTTTATCTTACTTCGTCTCCCTCACTTATCATGACAAAGTCTTGAGTTTCGTCATTGTAGACACCCACTTCTGCAGTCAATTCTGTGACTTCACTTTCCATTTCAACAATCTTAATTTTCTTTACAATTGTCTCATGGTCGAATACAATAGTAAGAGATTCATGATCTTCAGATAAGGATGGGTACCATGGTTCATCTGATGGTGAGTCCTGACCATCGTGCAATCGGAATGTAACTTCCAATCCGTCCTCCATCCCGAGGTTCAGATTACATGGTGCTGAAGAATGGGAAAAAATCATTATCATCATTATTATTTTTATAATTTTCATTATTGCTATTATTGTCATTATTATTATTACATATGTATTTATTTATTTATTGAACATCTTTATACAGGATAACATATCAGGAGGGTGTAACAACCTGTTTTACAGATGGCCCTGTGTATTAATAAAATTAAAAAGAGACTTAATTACAAATATGATAAAAAGCTTCATCTAAAACACAGAATACACAAAATTTTGTTGCAATACACTGAAAAAGTTAAAATCACAAGGTAAGGTAATAAAATTAATGATAAAAGCCTTTATCCCATATTAAAATAGTACAATTCAGTGTAAAAGTAAAAAGATGAGTCAAATTATTTTAAGAAATTAGACAGTTTAGTCAAAAAAACAATATGCAAGTATAAGATATGTAAATTTAAGATTATTTTAAAAGCGGTAGCTTAATTTAGATTTTATTAACTAAAAATTAGTGTATGCAATTTTTGAGAGTAAATTTTGTGCAGAGATTTAAGCTCAGTGCAGAGATTTACAGCAAGCTCTGTCCAGGCTATCAAATTTTATTTGACAAAAATCTCTTGTATGACCATATATAGTCATATATGCCTATTTATGGTTATGATGTGACCATATTTAGGCATGTCAAATATTTTTGTCAAATAGAATTTTATAGTGTGAACAGGGCTTTAGATTGATTTTGTTATGTATTTTAGTGAGGTGTTTGCATGCAAGATTTTGATCTCTAGTCCATGGTATTGTATGTGTTGGACATTTTCAATCAACTGATCTCCAAGATGGATATTAAATTTATGGGACTGAACAACGTGTTTGTTTTTTTATAAGCATACTTTTAGTTTTTTCGATGTTCATTTTTAATTTGTTACTTGCATACCACTCCTCAGGACTTAAACAGAAAATGTACAGTAAATTGTTTTTAGTTTCATTTAATTTCTTCAACATTTATTCAACCATTTATATGGAAATAAAACAAATCAAAGTTACAGTATACATAGAAAATGGTTAAGGGACGACATAGAAACTCTTAAAGTCCATCACTGTCACCCCTCTTCGAAGACAGCAAAACAAGATTAAACATGAAAATGAACAGAAAATAGACACTCTTTCATATAAATAAGATAAAAACATAATGTAATTCAATTCCCAAACTCTAATTATTTTTATTATTAAAGAGTTAATATGTCATGTAATTATTATGTTTTGGAGCTTTCATTAGTTTTAATTTATATTGAACTATAGTTTTTGAATAAAAGTTGTTATATATATATATATATATATATATATATATATCCTGAAGCGTAAACAACATTGTCAGCATAAATGCATACATCCAAACATTCAAAGCACAAATTGACTATTGAAAAAACATCATAATATATAGAATTAGTTGTGCATGACACCATGACTTTTACTATAACATTCTTAAATAATAAAAATTACATAAATTGTTTTTAAAGAAATGTGGTACTTACCTTCAGTAGTAGTTGTAGTTTCTGTAGTCGTAGTAGTAATGGTGGTTGTTGTAATTATTTCTGTGGTTGTAGTCTCAGTTGTGGTGGTTTCAGTTGGCGTTGTTGTAATAATTGTTGTTGTTGTTTCTGTTGTGGTTGTAGGTTCTGGTGTGGTTGTAGGTTCTGGTGTGGTTGTAGGTTCTGGTGTGGTTGTAGGTTCTGGTGTGGTGGTTGTAGGTTCCGGTGTAGTGGTTGTAGGTTCCGGTGCGCTTGTAGGTTCCGGTGTAGTAGTTGGGGGTTCCGGTGTAGTAGTTGGGGCTTCAGTTGTGGTTGGAGCTTCAGTAGTGGTTGGAGCTTCAGTAGTGGTAGGGGCTTCAGTTGTGGTTGGTTCTGTGTGTAATATATGACCATTCTTTGCCTTAGTGCAACACATTTAATACATAGAAAGTTTCTGAATAACATTTATTTGATAAAACAATCGGTGTAAACCACTTTGGTACACAAGAGACCATGTAAAATGCTAGAGGGGTTTAGAAGGTTGTAGAAACACTTTAGAAGCTAATAAGCTCTATTGGCCAATTATGAAATAATGGCTCCTAAGGCTTCTATTTGCTACAGGGTCTGAAACAATGGTAATGGATATAGACTTGTATAGCACATGATTCTAGGACTCTATGCGATTTCAACAAATGTCCAAAAGACGTTGAATAAAAGAAACAAATAACTTGACTATACACGCCCGTATGCAGGATTTTTATTGGGTGGGTGCGAATATGTAGAGAGTGGACCAAAATGGCTAGGGGACAGAGCCCTGCTAGGGTCAAGGTGGTGGGGCTCAACCATTTGTTATTTACTTGAGGTCTTATTTAATTGATTTATGATGATGTACTATGAAGTATTAAAGAGTTTTCATTAGCAGATCAAGGAATTCGAAATAGGGGGTGGGAGGCGGGGGCCAGGTAGGGACTTCCACAGATGGATGGTCTATACCACGTCAGCCCCACCATGGTTAGGGCTGAGCAAGGAAAATTTATAATGGCTCCTCTAGATGGCTGGAAATAGCACTCTCAGACCTAACTTTGATTATATTTATTATTATTTTTTCTACATTAAAAAAAAAAAAAATTAGGAGTGTGGGTAGGGAGGAGGGCGGGGAACTCTGGCTGGCTGGTCACCACCCCACCCCCTTTTGAATAAGCCACTGATCATCACATTCCTTCATTGCTGCAGTTGAGGATAGACTGGGTTAGATAGAGGACCAAGAGCCTCATTGACAATCCCACAAGAAAAAGTCAAACAAAGAATTGCATCCCTTAGTTGGAAATACTTTATATTTCCAAATTATAAATTTGTTATTGATCACTCAACATGGGGTCCAAGGTAAACCCCTCAGATGATGTAAGCGGCAGCGAAAAACTACTCAAAAAGCTTAAAATACAGTTAGCTTGTTTTCTGGTACAGTAGTAGTATGCACACTGAAACTCTTTGCAGCTCTTTGCAATATGATGAAAATTATTGTTATTAAATATTAACATGTATTACATATTACCCCCATTATTATGTTGCAATAAGATCAGAAAGAAGTTTACCTATATTTTACCCGAATGCTGTGTTACTAAATAGTAGGTGTTTTTTTAAAAGTGTTACTGTGCTTAGATCAACTTCCAAAGTAATGTTTTGTTAAAATATTATTATTGTTATTAAATACAGTAGGTCCAAAGAAAAATTATTTATTGAGTTTGAGTATGTTATATTTTTCCACCGTCATATTACAGAACAAGAGAAAAATAAAAGTTCTGGAAGAAAGAAAAGCTACCTTCAGTTGGGGCTGGAACTATCCTACATTTTTTATTTTATATTTTATTGCATCATAATAGTTTTTAAATTTATATTGTCATGTCATTTTTTTTGTATTGGACCCCACTGGAAATAAGTTGTTTTAATTTTCGAATTTATGGGTTATCCTGGTTTCATATTTTAATATTCTATGTTTTTTTTATTGTAATAATATTGAAGCATTCTTCTACCAAAAGAATGCTTTTTTACGAGAATAACAGATTCAGTGGCACGAGGCCATAGCCTTGGAATTCAGCCTACTTTATTCAGATCTCAGGTGCGCAGACATGCTTTTTCTGTGCGCTTAATAAATGAATGGAACTCACTACCAAATTTTGTTGTAATTGCTAAGTCTATAAACCAGTTCAAAACTTAACTTGCAAAAGCTCGCAAAAACCACCCAAAACTCTTCAATCCATATTATGAACTTAAATGCCCATGCACAAGGGGCTCATAAGCAAGACGCTTCAAGAGTCTCTACTATCAAGTAAACAAGTAAGAAACCGAATAAAAAACAAACAAACAAACAGAAAACTAAGAGTTGTTTCTTGTTAAATTTGTGTTCCCCTACATTAACAGAGTTTGCTCATAAGAGTGTTGTTGTGACAGCAGCAGGCTTATCACTGGATATTCCAAATGCAATATTTTTCTCATTTCTACTTTTGTTTCGGAAGGCAGGTCGGAGGGGAGAGGACAGACAAAAAGTAGCCACTTGGCCCCCCTAGATTTAAATAGGGGGTTGGACTATAGGCTAATCACATGTATCTGTAAAAAAACGTTTATTACAAAAACCAATAATGTAAATACAGAAGAAAAACCCGGTGGAAGTGTGGTGATGTGCCAGATCACAGACGAAAATGACATCAGATTTGTGGAAGATCAGAGCAAAAGGAAATGCATGGGTGAAAGCCAAAAGGAACCCTATGGATAGAAAACGTTACACATGAAGCCAAAAACTACAGTTCAAATAGGGAACTGGAATGTCCATACTATGTACGTGACTGGAACAACAGCAGAGGTAGCAAACGTTATGGCCTTACGTGCATCATAGCACAAAGAGGATAGGTGAGATGTGGTGATTGTTATCAAATGGGTTCATAGAAATATTATTTATTGAGTTTTATTAGCTTTTATTGAGAAGCATCCTTTTTGTTTAATGTTATGTTGCAAAACAAATGAATAATAAAAGTTCTGGGAAGAAAGAAAAAACCTACCGCAACTTTCACTTGGACTGCCAACATGGGTGGTGGTGTTGTTGTGCCAGGGGGTGGTGTTTCAGTTGTAGGCACAGATGTTGTTGTAGAAATTTCTGAAAAACAAAGTACATATAAAGAGTATAAACAAAAATTTGTCTCACCATTAAATGTCACTTCCATTTTGCTCTAAGTTTTGAAAACTTTTATTAGTTTATCCAGGTAAGTGTTCACAAAATATACTAAAGCACTTCATCTTGAAATAGGCGGTCAGCACAAAGAAGGTTATGACTTAAGGGCTTAGCCAGCGAGCCACCCGGCCGTTTTTTGGACGGCCAACAATTACTTAGGATGGCCACTTTTACCGTGACAGCTTGGATGGTTTGGCCTATTAAGTTCGGCCTAGCCTAGTTGGGGCTGGTTTACCTTTAGCAAATTCTTTATATTCTTCAAATCTATCAAATGTTGCATTAAACTAAAGCATATATTGGACAACCTATTTCATTTTTCTGGCTAAACCTCTGTTACAAATGAAGAATAGGTAGTCAAATAGAAAACAATAATTGATGGAGAAGGATAGTTGAGAAGGATATACTTACTTTGATTGAAGTTGACCAGAAGAAGGATGAACAAGCACAAAGAAATGAAGTGAAATAAGATAAAGAAAATCAAAAAGTAAGAAAATCAGAAACTATTCTAAATCAATGTTTTAGCATTTTTACATATTACAATAATTACAATTATCAAACAAAATCATTAGTGATGTTCTTAGTTTATGAGTGAGATACTTACCTGTATAAACTGATAAATGCCTAAGTTTAATTTGAGAGTTACCTCTCTATAACGTAGCAAACGTTATGGCCTTACGTGCATCATGGCACAATGAGGATAGGTGAGATGTGGTGATTGTTATCAAATGGGTTCATATATTAGCTTTTATTGAGAAGCATCCTTTTTGTTTAATGTTATGTTGCAAAACAAATGAATAATAAAAGTTCTGGGAAGAAAGAAAAAACCTACCGCAACTTTCACTTGGACTGCCAACATCGCAAAATTCCCACCTTCTGTTTGGATCTGTCGTATAACACCATGCGGTGTTATCCTGATCGGGGTTACGGCAGTTGTTGTTGTTAAGCAAACCGTCATCTGGATAACTTTCTGGAGTGTATGAATGCGAATGCGGTGTCTGTGATGCCCAGTCTTGACATGTAAAACCGCTGGTTGTGGTATGTACCGAGCCTCGATAATCGTAAGCATTTGGCATTTCATAACATTCAGGGACTTTCCAAGTAAAAAAACAAGAAAAAAAAATCAATGAAATGATTTGGAAAAAATGATGACTGTTTGCAAAATGTACTGAGCTTTAACTCTCATCCCATAACATTCACAAACTTTCCAGCTAAAGTAAACAAAAAAAAAATACATGGAATGAATTGGATTTAGGAATATTGAATGAATGATTTGTTTCCTCATCTCATATTAATAATGTCATTTTAAATCAAAATATACAGTTGGAGGCACAGATGTTGTGCCGGTGTGTGGTGTTGTTGTACCGGGGTGTGGTGTTTCAGTTGGAGGCACAGATGCTGTGCCGGGGTGTGGTGTTGTTGTACCGGGGTGTGGTGTTTCAGTTGGAGGCACAGATGCTGTGCCGGTGTGTGGTGTTGTTGTACCGGGGTGTGGTGTTTCAGTTGGAGGCACAGATGTTGTGCCGGTGTGTGGTGTTGTTGTATCGGGGTGTGGTGTTTCAGTTGGAGGCACAGATGTTGTGCCAGTGTGTGGTGTTGTTGTACCAGGATGTAGTGTTTCAGTTGGAGGCACAGATGTTGTGCCGGTGTGTGGTGTTGTTGTACCGGGGTTTTGTGTTTCAGTTGGAGGCACAGATGTTGTGCCGGTGTGTGGTGTTGTTGTACCGGGGTGTGGTGTTTCAGTTGGAGGCACAGATGTTGTGCCGGTGTGTGGTGTTGTTGTACCAGGGTGTGGTGTTTCAGTTGGAGGCACAGATGTTGTGCCGGTGTGTGGTGTTGTTGTATCGGGGTGTGGTGTTTCCGTTGTGCCGGTGTATAATAATAATAAAGAATAATAATATAATAATAATGGAAAAACCCCAATAACATATGAAAATGTAATAATAAAAATAATAGTTATCTTCTTAAATATATTGTAGTGTTCTGCAGTGATAGTCACATTTAAAGCTTGAATGAACTTTGTAACACTACTTTTAAAGAATTTGCATACTTACATGTAAATCTCTGTATAAAAGAAAACTCATAGAATTTGTACTTTTTATGTAGAAATAATTATGTAGCACTTTAATCATTATGAAATCAATTCCAAGTGCTTATCTATAAGAACCTAAAAGCCTTCACAGCTTTCAAGTAAAGAGCTAGTGGTAATCAGTTACTGAATCAGACTGGATCAGTATACAATATATGTATTAACATATATGTTATATTAATAACATATATGTTGTATTAATATATATGTTATATACTATATTAATATATATATTAATAACACAGTAGTTGATATGAAGGATGCATTTGCTATTATGTGAAATGCAACAACTATACAATGAATATAGATATCAACTTCAACTCCAATTTGTGTAACAAAAAAAGCAAAGCTTTTAAACATGACAGCAGTCATACAAAATAACAAATAGCTAAAAATACAATAACTTAAATCAATGAGCAAGTACCTGAAAAAATATGACTTTAGGGTTTGTTGAAATGCTTAATTTTGGGCAGATACAGTGGTAACGAGTTCCAGAATATTGGGCCAGCGACAAAGATAGTATGTGAACAAAAGTTGCGCATAAAAGTTTATGGTAGAAGTGATGTTTCTAACATCCAAAAAGGGTTTAGTTAACTCAAGTTGACTCCTTTAAGGACTCAAACTGTAGGTTACAAATACGAATAGACTTTCTCCGAATGTCAATCACACTTAAATGACCAATCAGAACAGGCACACATATTGTTCAACAAATGCACATAGTTAGGCTTGTTTACAGTCATTTTTGTGGGATGTTCTTAACAAAAATATCCAAGAGGCTGGGCTTAGTTGGAAGGCCCATACAAAAATTTTCTATAGAATTCTATAAAGAAAATTCTATAGATTTTCTATATAGTATTCTATAGAGTATCTATAGAAAATTTTATATAAGTTCTATAGAATATTTCAAACAAATTCTATAGAAAATATATAAAAACATTCTATACAATCTCTAAAGAATTTCTATACAATTTCTAAAGGATTTCTATAAAATTTCTAAAGGATTTCTATACAATTTCTAAAGAAAATAACAAGTGTTTCTATAGAGAGTAACGCTGTTATACTTTCTTTTCTATAGAAAACTATTATTTTCTATAGAAATTGACAATACTTCTATAGAAAAGAACAGCATTTCTATAGAAATTATTGCAAATATATATTTTTTTCTATAGAAAACTTTGTAAATTTCTATGGAAAATAACAGCAAATCTATAGAAAGTAACGCTGTTATAATTTCTTTCCTATAGAAAACTTATTTTCTATAGAAATGCACAATACCTCTATAGAAAAGAACAGCATTTCTATAGAAAGTAACGCTGTTATATGTTATGTTCTTTTTCTATAGAAAACTATTATTTTCTATAGAAATTCACAATACTTCTATAGAAAAGAACAGCATTTCTATAGAAATTATTGCAGATATAATTTTTTCTATAGAAAACTATATAAATCTCTATGGAAATTAACAGCATTTCTATAGAAATTATTGCAGATATAATATATTTTCTATGGAAAACTGTATTATTCTCTATAGAAATGTACAGAATTTCTATAGAAATAATGCTGATATATTATATTTTCTATAGGAAAAAAAAACAGCATTTCTATTGAAAATAACGCTGATAAAATTAATTTTCATAGAAATTCACAGCACTTCTCTTGAAAATAATGCTGATAAATTTTTTTATATCGTTCGATCACTAAAAAATTGTTTTCACAAATCAAAAAAAAAGGTGTAAAAATAAAAAATCATAGGCCTACAAGATGATTGTAATGTACAAATGTGTTTTGGTAGTTCATGGCAGGAAACATGAAATATTTGAACCCACTGTACAGAAATCTGAACAAAATGTATTCATTCTCAAGATCTTTATTTAACACATATTAAACATATATATAACAGGTCAAACAAACCAAACTAAAATAATGTTTGCATTGCATCATCTAAAAGTAGAAAACAAAACTGGATTCAATATCTTAAAAGAATAAACTGCATTGAATTTTACTAGCATTATGAAGTCACACGATGTAGCACTAGTGGTATTGTGCAAACATATAAAGATTTATAAAAATAATTTTACAGTATATAATAGCTGTATTTACAGTAAATTGCAGGCCTATATAAAATATTATAAATATATTAAATAACATCAAGGTATTGTAAGCGATATTGATAAGGGTAGATAAAAGAAAAAGTTTTATATATTTTTATATACTATTACAGTACAGTATTAGATTTAACTTTACACGAATTTAATAGTTATGTGAAAGACTCAAAAAAGAAATTCCAAAACATAAGGTGGATAACCCTGCACAGTATGGACCATTCATAATTATCAACAAATGTATAAACAGTATGCTAAGGGGGAAAGGGCCTGGTACTAAATACAAAATTAAATGAAAGGAATTTACAAAAGCTTAAAATATTGATTGAAATCGGTTTTCTAAATTTAATAACATGCCAATATGGATTATTTAAACCTAATTATGTATCTATGTACCCATTGAAAAAAAGGCCATAGAGAACAGTAATGCAAAATCAACATTTTCCATGAATGTACACTTTTTAAAGGGGTTGAGGTGGCAAAAAAGAGTACACTTTTAATACACTATGATTACAATTGTGATTGGCCCCTATGTAAGTTTAAACTTTAAAGAAAAAATATACTCAGGTACTAAACAGAGAGCTACAAAATAAAATACAGTACTGAAATAGTTGCTACTCATATAAATAAGAAAATATTGATTTTATGTACATACAATAATATGGCAAGACAAAAATATTTAAACGAATGTTATGTTTTTAATAAGAAAATATGACAAGCGTAGATATAATTATTGATGTGGAAGTAGCATTTCTATTTAATAAAGCCAAGCTCTGAAGGACATAAATCTGTTGATATGTTGTAGAACTAATCTTTCTAAGCCTCAAAGTATATTTGACAAAAAACTTGGAAGCAGTTAATGAGAGAGATACAGATTTTTGAATAGAAAAAGGGTGGTTATGTCTCTTTCCCCCCAGTTTTTAAATATTAAAAAATCTGAATCTCATTAACTGCTTCAAAGTTTTTCATCAAATATTCTTTTTAGGTTTTAAAAAAATCTTTTCTGAGCTTTAAGACGGCCTACACACTGAAACATCAAATATAATAAAATACTACCACAAATCTAATATCACTAGAACGAAGTTTGGAATTAAAGTTAAATAACCAAATTTAAAAACAAAAATGCATACATGGTATTCCCAATTTTTAGGCTTGTTCATTTTCTTTATTCTGTTTGACAGAGACTGCCTCAAAAGAGTGGTTGATGCCTCAGGATACTTCTTATCAGTGAAATCTGGGGTAAAAAAAATGCAAAAAATTTGAATACTCTTATAGGCTTCTAAATCGAAAACTCATAAACGGGCAACCAACAAGAGCAGGATGAATTTTAATAATTTTGGTGCAATGTCTAAAATTAGTTATTGTAATCTCTAAAGAATAAAATGCAGATACCTTAAAAGTAGTGGTCCAATAAAAGTATTATTTCATATTTGTTATCTTGTACAAAATCTAAATATAATTTTAATATAAGTATTCCACTAGTAGCAAAATATTTTCTTCATTAACTGTCTAATATTAAAGTTTCTTCCTTCAAGTGCTATGCAGAACATATACAGTAAGATGTAGCTACTGTGTAGGTTAAGTCAGTAATAAAGACGGGCTCCCTTTTTTGATGGTTATTAATTGGTTACAAAGTGACAATGCAAACTTTCAGATTAAAATTTAAAGAAAAACAATCAATGTCTAACCCAAATAAAAAAGCTTTACATGTTGATGTACCATTTATCTTTTGAAATATAAACCCCTTATTACAGTACATAAGCCTGCAGTATCTTCATTTAAAAGGTAAAACACAAACTTATTTAACAAATTACCTACCTGTTATGGCAGTAATTCAGATGGGAT